TAAGTTCTAGGTGATTTTCAATGTTGTTTTTTTTTTTTTTACAAGTTTTATTTATTTTATTTTTTTTTCAAGTAAAGAACTTTATATAGTAGGGAATAATATGACACAGCAAACAGCAAACAATATATCAAACGTATAAACAAGGTTTAGGTTAGTTTGCGAACCTCACCTAAATTGTCTCCACTTTCTGTCTGTATGTGTACTAAACCCTTTAGAGTACAGGAGGAAGGGGGAATAGGAGAAGATATTTCTTTCTTGTCCTTCCCTCCTTTCCTCTCCTCAGAAGGGGTGCTGGACCACTCCATCTCACACCTTACTGCCTCTAATTTCTGGGTTTCTTGCCCTACTTTGCCTGCTGTGGAACCCCTTTATCCTTTGGAAATGAAGTCTAGCTATTATATCCAAGTATGTGAACACCAATCAATAGCACCCGTTATACCGCATCTTGTCTGACTACCTCTAGAAGCAGCTCAAGAGTGTGAGCAAACAGAATGAAGAATGATGGAAATGTTGCAGCCCTGTCTAGTTCATAGGTACTCACTCTTTGGTCAGCAAGGAGTTAAAAGCGGCACTGTCATGGCTGAATCCAGTTTTTTTAAACCCCCCTCCTGACCCATCTAACACCTAATTGTCCCCCTAGTCACCCCCAAATGCTCCTAAGCCCCCATATTACCTATTTTCTTATCTTAATTTTGTGCCCAAACCTAGGTCCAGGACGCCGCCATCTTTGTGTGGGTAGATGAAGTCCCCGTGGCCCACACTAGATTGTGCTGTGAAATTTCCGCGCATGCCAAGTTAAACACTTGGGCATTCGCTACCAGAATTTCATCTATTCATTCTATTCACTCCCCACCACTTCCTAAGCCCCCCCATGTCCTCCCTCACTCTTTGGGGGTAAGTATGACCCCCATATTAGCATGAGGGAGATTGAAATCTCCTGAATGCCCCTACTCGCTATGCTGCGAATACCGGCATGTCTACTAATGGGGCATGTCTACTAGAGGTGCATAGTGTGTGTCCTAGCCCCCACCCGTGCCCCACAAGTGTGGACTATGCAAATAAATGGGGGACATAGGGCCCATCCAATCATTTGGGCATAAGTATGCCACTAAACGTCTTATAGTATTTCAGGGATAGGCCACCAGGACTTTATTGGTCTGGGATATTTTTAGAGCCTCCTGCAATTCAGCAACATCAAGGGGTAGTTGACAACAACTGTCTCTATGGGCATAGTTCTAGTAATGCGCTTTCACGAGGTGTGGGAGCTCACCGCTGGGTACACGCTGCAGAGCCTAATAATAGAGATTAGTATGTACCCATAATATCATCAGGGAGTCTGTTTTCCATGTCTCCAGTGATCTTTACCCTATAAACATGCCATAACTGTAATTTCTTTTGGAGCATCCTAGCCAGTTGTCTTCCACATTTGTTAGAATATTAATAGAAAAGCTTTGGGATTTGCAAAATGTTACTAGATCCTACTGTGAAAGCAGTTTAGTTAGTTTACCATGGATCTCTAAGCAGTTTCATCCATGATCGTACATTTATGATCTTGATCAAGTGCTCCTATTTGAGCTAGTAATTAAAGATTTTGCTGTGCGTGTTCCTTTTTGCAGTGTGAACAAATACTAATGTGTAGTGTCCCCTGACGACACATGTATTGGCTTCCCATGTCATCAGCAATAGGACTAGTTGTGTGTATTTTATAGAAAAATCGGATGAGGAGAGAGCGTCTGACCCTTATCAGCCACGTCCTGTTTTCATTAAGTTTCCACTGCCTCTCACGAGGTTTAACTAAGGGAGTTTTCAACCTAATGGACAATGGGGAGTGGTCGGACTAGCCCACAACCTGGATGTCAGAGGATTGCAGAGTAATTGATTCTTGTTTATTTCCTATGTGATGTAGAAACGTATGTGTAGTCTTGGGCATCTAGGTTCACTCTCCAGCAATCAACTTAGTTAGCAGGATGCTTGTCGTAAGCATTAGGGTGGCATGGTACTAGTTCCCTTAATTTCCTCCTTTACAATAAGTAGGTCTTCTCTGAATTTGTCCAACAAAGAAAATACAGAGAAAGACGTGTTGTTTTTTTATTAAGGGCATAGAGACATGCAAATGTGTAGGGCTGATCTGCTATTCTCCCTTTAACAAATGGGTCTTCTTGACTTGCTGTATATGCAAATGGAGTCTTGGGTGCAAACTAGATTGTGACTTCACTCCTTTTAGCTTCGTGATTGTTGGCAAAGAATCCTGTTGGGAAGCTTCTATCTCTTAAAATGGTTGTATGTCCTTCTCTAAAGTGTGTTTCCTGCAATAGTGCCACTGACACTGTGTGCCCACAGGTATCTCAGGAGTTGCATATGTCGTTCCAGAATGTTTAAACCCCAGACATTGTATGTCCAGGTGTGAATGGATTTTGTTGAACACACACTAGCCAATCAACTATTTACAGAAAATATTTACAAAGGAAACTGTGACACAATATCAATGGTGGTTCAAAGAACTAGTTCAGTTTGGAGCCACACCTCAGTTCCAACTTGATCATTCTCCCAGGTATGTGTCAGTTACATGGGTTCGCAGAAGACTACAAGAAAACATTTAAAACTTTGTTTCAACATTTTAACATCCCAGCGCTCAGCTGACACCGTTTAACACCTTTAACACGGGGAACTTGTGAGGGTCTACCAACTCTACATTTGTGAAAGTAAGGGTTAAAAACATAGTAATTCATTATTGGCACCCAAATTCTCTCTAAGATCCCCTCTAGAATGCAAGCTGTCCCTGGTTCACAGCCCCCAAGCCGCAACATCAAGCTCATGTCGGGGACGGCAGCTCTGGGAGAGCAGCCTCACCTCCTCCTAAACCCGCTCCAGCCATCCCGTTAACCTCCCTAAAGCCATTCCACTGTATCCCCACCACAGGGGATCCCAGCTGCCCCCAGCAAGCCCTGCCACTCACCAAGCCAAGGCCCATAGGGTAAGAGCTCAACCCCCATGAAGCAGAGAGAGGCCCCACTCAAAACCTCTCTAACGCTACAACAGCATAAACTCCTTCTGAGTGCAGCCATACGTCTCGGGCTATCCTCAGTCCCATGCAAAACCAACACAGATGTGTACCATCTCCAGGAAAATTAGGACTACATATACATTACTTATCTTACTTCTGTTCCCAAGCCTGAACCCTCACCGCAGGGTGGAGCAACTGGCCACAAGGCTTGTATATGCACAATCACCTATGTTGGATCCATTTGTGAGTGTGCGCTCCAAGAAACAGCATTCTGTTGCCCACCTGTGTTAACCCCATTGCCCAAAATGGTCCAGTGTAGTAAACTCCTTACATCATAGCAAGACACTCTGCCCAAAAGTCAAAGCATAAAGCTTGAAACCTAAAGTCAACCCCTCTCCTCTCCACAACTGCAAAATAAATAAAAAGACTAAGTACTGAAAATATTAATTTGTGCTACCCCTTGTAGTTGGACCAGTCCTCCCTCCCAAGTTCCAAGAGAATAAAGGTCTATTGCATTGAGTAAATGCATCTCTATGCCGAAATGTGGATTGGTGCAGCGCGGTGTTGTGCTGTGCATGTGTTTCTATGAAAAAGCATTGCACTGGCCAAGCTCATCAAATTTTGGGCTGGAGCGTTGGCACACCCGACCAGCGCGGAACAGTGGGGTAAATCACTGTTTTAACTGGAGGAGAGGGGGGCTGGGGGATTAACCAGTTAAGTAGACCTATAGTGTCAGGAATACACATTTATATTTCTTACACCAGGGATTTATTTATATAAAGGGAGAGGCAAAAATCCCCTAAAGTGGCGGGCAACCATGAGTATTGCAGGCGGGTGGTGAGGTAGCGTTGATCTCTGAGCTCTTCCTGCTCTGCTCCCTCGCACTGCAGTAATGCCGCAAGCCAGAATATAATGTCATTTCGGCCATGGCATCACTAAGTGGCGCACAAGCGAGCAGAGCAAGAAGATCAGAGCTTCCTCGCCACTTCCATTATCCTCACATCCAGCCATGTGTGTCTGTCAGTAAGTGTGCATGTGTGTCTGTCAGTGAGTGTGTGGGGGTCTGTCAGTGTGTGTGTGTGTGTGTGTGTGCATGTATGTCTGTCAGTGAGTGTGCATGTGTGTGTGCATGTGTGTCTGTCAGTGAGTATGCATGTGTGAGTGTGTGTATATATCTGTAAATGGCATATGTGTCTGTCAGTGAGTGTGTGTGTGTCAGTGAATGTGTGTCTCTTAGTGTAAGTGTGTTGGTTAAACAGTGAGTGCCAATAACTGTGTACCTGTCAGTGTATGCATCAGTGGTGGCATGTGTCTGTCAGTCAAAGTGTATGTTGGTCTTAAACAGGAGGAGGCGCAGGAAGGTGTGAGGCAAATTTAGATTACTGGATTACTGGAGTTTAATCATGCCTAGGGCAGCACAAAACCAAAATACACCACTGCTTGCAACTATAGTGTTCATTTAAACTTTCACAGGGTTATTCACTAAATGGGAATTACAGATAATTCACTAGGATATTACATATTTTAGACCAACGTAGAAAAGCCATAACTACAGCACAGTTAAAGATTATTCCAAATGTATTTATTTTAGTTTAAGATTTAGCTTTAATTGTCAATTACTGAAAATACATAATATAGTACATGTATGTACGTAGTGGGGAATTACGATACCACATAACATAGATAACCCCAATAAAAAAAAAAAACAATAACGACAGACAACTTAGTATGGATGAACAGGCCACAGCATTTATTATAACATAAATAAATTACTGCATAACACATCCATAACTTTATTTATTAAACTCTTCTTTCTGTTAGAAATAAATAATCATAAATTAACATATATACATATAATAACAAAACGTGCTATGCAGAGACCCAACCGTCCTTGCCAATAAACATCCAGTGGTTCCTAATCACCACTTCCTCTCACCTCCCCCCTCGTCATAAAAAATCCTTCCAATGCCCGCCATCAGCCGACCTTATCCATGCTCGATGGGCACGATACCTCAGGCAACCTAATGTTTAACCTTTTAAGCAGGGGAGGTTGAGACCTGCAAAACATAAAAACATAGTCCGTCCTTAGACATAACCCCTCAAACTTGATTGGCAAGGACATACCCCCGCCTAGCTGTGACTAACTGAACCTAAAAGGGGTGGGCGGGCAGGAAGCTGTTTGCTGGCCCGTATCCCAAGTGGCACTGAGGTAAGACCTCCCCCACACTAACTTACATTAAGCCTAACCCCTCCCATGAACACTTCCCAAGTCCCTCCCCTGTATCTACCCCACACTCCTACATGTGCCCTTGTCCGCTTAGCTTCTTGGTCCCCTGACCCTTACTGAACTTTGCACAGTTTCTGAGCAAATGGCAGAATGTGCTTTATAAATACATGCCTTTCACAATGGGGACTCTGAAAGTAAAACTTATCTGCACCTAGCAACAGGACCTTTCTGATCCATGAAATTTGGTTCTCAGAATAAATTTATGAAGATATACTGCTCAATCATACAATGAGATTCATTAATATATTAAGCTATTAAAGAGTCACTTCAGAGATTTTCATAAAGATAGGATTTTTATGAAACATCCATATAGAGTTAGATGGAATGTCATTGCTTTTTAAACACAATCAAAATTTGTCATTATACAAAGGTGACAATCTACCATTTAGTTAGTTTCAGAGAGGAACTCAATTGCAGCGGAACAGCAAATTCCTTATAATCACAATGCTCAGGAGCACCTAGAAACTGGAAACAGGCCCCAAAAGATGTGGTGGCACTGAGGCTTTTAATATAGAAGCAACAGGTATTCAAAAGGGGGCAGGCTGTCAGACAGTCCAGAGATCAAAGGCAGGCAGCTAGAGAGCAAGATCAAAAATGAAGCCAAAGGTCAAAAGCCGGGAAGGCAGCATCAAGAGTCTAGAGCTTGGCACAAGAACAACCAAACACTGAGTGGGGGAAATTTATGGGTTATACAGGCTGACAAAATCACATGACCGGCGCCTACCATCGGTAGGCAGAACATCCATAGACTATATAATGCACTTTAGGACTCAGCGCCATCTTGGCTATATCACAACCCCAACCTCACCTCCCATTTTGCCCACAGCTCCTCCTACCTCTCTATGAGTACTAATCAGGCGTCCATGTGGTGGTCACCATCTTGCTGCAGAAGTGCAACCATCACTGATCCCAGCACTGACTTTGTGGAACCTGAGGGATGGCTCATGGAAGCATGGAATGGTGCTGCCCATGTGGGTGCCCTGGGAAAATGTAAGTACCACCAGACAATGTAACACAAATAGAACAAAAGTCGAGAACAACAAACTTTACAGCCAAACTCAAAACAGTATCATACGTTCTGAGATTTTTGCCTGCAAGCCACATCTCCACTGTAATTATATAAAAACTGCCCCTGCTTAGAACTCGAGGGGGCATGGTAGTAGAGGAAATGTTAGTGTCATAATCTTCATTATCAGTAATGCATTGAGGGTGGGCCCTCTCGAATATAGAGTGTGTCTCTACATATTTTCGAGGCTGACTAGAAGCTGGGCTAATCAGCCCTCTTCAAGGTGGCCTATATGCTACTGTAGTGATAGTGTATAGGTGGAATGCATTGATTCGATTTTGTGTAGTGAGTGCACATCTAATAATGCACTCACTCTACTTATTGGTGAATTTTCTCTGGTGAGATGTGAAGAGATCTTATTGACCCTAGTGAACTGTTCATGTCCATATGAAAGCTTTGCAAAATATGAACAATGATAAATATTGTGGTCGGGGTCCAGATGTTTGTCCCCATAAGTCCCCATATTACATTTCCTATCTGGGATAAATACATTCAATGTTTATTGAATAACCTTGGCTTATTTTCAGTCTGTGCTGTAACAAAATATTACCCTTCTCAGACAGCTATTAAATCATCATTATTTTCCACACATTACAGGACTCTGATCACTCTTTCTTCCCCATGTGTTTTATCATCGCTCTGTTCTGAGGCGCATAAGATCACTAATATCCTCAAGTTACACTTTCACCCTCTGAAAGTCATACGTTCACCATTATTGTGATGGAATTTTGGTGAAATGTAAATTTAGTAGGCCGAGATTTCCACGTGGCATATGTGTATGTTGTATCAGTTAGTTAGTTACACATAGCTAAGATACTGTCATTAATGTACTGAGCATGTGCAGGAATGCAGGAACTGAAATCACATTCCTTTCTCCTTTGTTTCGGATGAGCCATGTGGTCTGCCCATATAAGGAAATCCAAATCCTGTCCACTGATTGGTTAAGGGTATGTGTGGATGGAGCTATTAATGGGAGGAGTTATAGTTCTATAAAAAGCATGTACTCCATGTGTTCGCCCCTCAGACCTGTTTTGGAACGTTAGTTCATCTGAGACCCGATCAGTATGTTAATAAAGACCTCTTACTTCCTGAAAACCTGCATCCATCTCTCTGTGTCTGGCTTCTGCAAGTTTACTCGGTTACATTATTATTTCCATCATGTGTCACAGCACTTCACCATAATAATACTATTATTTTCACCACTTTTCAGTACTGTCATTGGAATCATGTAAAATCAATTATCTCCACATATTACAACACTCTTTCACTCTCCTATGTAGGACATAATATCACTACTATTTCCATTCTGAGTATCAGCAATCTCTCCTCTCCTTTCAAGGACATAAGATCACAAATATGTCCAGAATCATAAATACAGTATGAGCACTTTTCACCAATCTTCTCATGGACATCAGACATGAGATCACTATTTGTTCCTTCTTGTTCCATACCAGCACTCTATCCCTTCATCCGAAGCAAAGATGCAAGTGAAATCCTCTTGAATCAAACATGCTCTGTTAACCAGATAGAAGCAATTTCCATATACTGAAAGGTCACAAGGGTACAAAAGAAAACCAATACATGAATCAAAACAAATGTTTCATTGCCATTGTAGGAAAGAATTTAGCAAAAATGTGTTTACTTTTTAAATTTCTCATACCATATTTTAAAGGGACACTGTAGGCACCCAGACCACTTCAGCTAATTGAAGTAGTCTGGGTGCTGTGACCCTTTTGCACTTAGTGCTGCAATGTAAAACATTGCAGTTCCAGAGAACTGCAATGTTTACAATGCAGCTCTAAGTCTGCCCTCTGTGGTTGTCTGCCAGACAGCCACTGGGGGTGCTTCCGGAATCCTAACGGACTTTTGGTCCGTTATCTGACGCTTTTCCTGGCACTATATGATCCCTTTAATGATATCAAAAGGCTAGACACAGAGGTAGATGTAGACGGACAGAGAGTCAGACACAGACAGACAGACAGAAATATAGGCAGACAGGCAGGTAAATAATATACAACGTGGACCTACTTGGGTAACATAAGAACATGGGTCAATTTAAATTCTGGCTGGATTATTTGTATTTTTGCAGAAGGTAAAACTAGTGTCCAGGATCTATAAACAAATGATGCTGATGTTATAAAACCCAATTAGGCAGGCTAAAATACTGATGTTATTCCGGTAAGTAATGGAGCCAGAATGTTGGTCTACATGAATTTCCTTCCAGAAATACCAAATAAACACAGAACAAATATGGCACGGCATCAAAATCTATTCTTCCTGCATAGAGAAATATAAAGTTTGCTAATGTGTTCATTCTCAAATAGCTGAATTGCAACCAAATCCAAAATAGTCCAAATGGAAAGATTCTTCATCTCAGCTACTTTACCAACGTGTGTATTTTGGCACAAAATTTGCAATATCCTTGTTAGTTGTCCTACAATTCATAATTTAGTTAATAGATAATATGTATTATTTTTTCCGAAAAACATATTTTTGAATATAACTGAAAATATTATTCACTTAGTCCATCGTTACTGTAGCTTTGTAGAGGGCAGACAAAATACAAGATATTAGTCTATTACAATTCTTTGACTCCCTTGTACATTTTATATGTATACCACAAAGGAATAGAAAATAATAGCCAGAACCAGTGCATCCTAATATAGTTTTATATAGACTTATAATAACCACATTAGCCAACATACTGTCTACCTAATAAATGATGGGCACTTTGCATGTCAGCTCAGCTGTGCATATATGATTGGTAGATTGGGGCTGTCACTCTGTATGACAGCTATAAAGCCCTCATGACTTATATTGGTCACAAGAATAGTATGAAGATCTTAGACATCCTAAGTGCATGCATTCCAACATTGTTAAATATAAAAAAGGAAAGTAAGGGATCTTTAGAAGAGAGGCACTGGTGACAAGCCACCATGTTATCCAACTATCTATAGCTCAATGCCCAGAAAATATACTTTTATGTGGTCCTTTCAATGGTCTTGGTGACACAAAATAAATAACTCAGGATGTTAGGACACAAGTCTGAAATCATAAATCCCAGCAAACCCATCAGATCTTGGAATAGCTGGGATTTATGTAAACAGACAGTATATGCTAAAAGAAGAACTACATCAAACACGTTCAAACTTGCCAGGAGTAAATAAATAATCACGTTAAAAAAATTTAATGGAAGGCATTATAGTCACCAAAATAACTTTACCTTAATGAAGCAGTTTTGGTGGAAAGATTATGCCCCTGCAGTCTCACTGATCTATTCCCTGTTATTTAGGAGTTGAATCACTTTGTTTATGCACTCTAGCCACACCTCCCAGCATCTGACTTGCACCGCCTTCCTAAACACTTCCTGTAAAGAGTCATCTTATGTTTACACTTCCTTTACTGCGAATTCTGTTTAATTTTAGAATTTCATAATGCCTGCTCGGTTAATAACTTGCTAGACCATGCAGGAACCTCCTGCATGTAATTAAAGTTCAATTTACAGAGGTATTAGATACAAACTTTTGAAGTAATTTACATCTGATTGAAAATAAAACCATTTTTTCATGCAGGCTGCGTCGGTCACAGCCAGGAGAGGTGTGCCATGGGCTGCATAAACAGAAACAAACGTTTTTTTTAATGCCTTATTAACAGAGAACTGAGCAGTGATACGTCATGATCTATACACCAAAACTGCTTCATTAAGCTAAAGTTGTTTTGGTGACTATTGTGTATATTTAAGACACAAAAATATAAAGTTATCAGATGGGTTGCAAAGATGGTATGGAGATTCATTTAAGATAATAGATTTTTCTATTTACATAGTAAATCTTTCAAGTTGTAGATATATATAAAAGTGTGGTGAATGGTGGAATTATAAAAAATATCTGCACTGCTACTTTGGAGTCAAATCCCCTCACCAATTCAAGGTTTAGTGAACAAGCTCAGGTGTGTGGCTATATATTACGGGGTTAATTATTTTAGCAGTACGACAAGTCACTGAGCCATATTTTCAAAGGACATGCCCAACATTTAGTAACCTAGTCTAATCTTTTGATCTATAGAATATTGGTGTTTTATAGCTAATGATAATTAACAAAGGTAGAAATATAATAATAATAATAATATAATGCCCAGCGGGCCATAAAATTAGGTTAAAAAGAGAACATTAACTCATAGGTACGTTTCTGTTACATAAAACGCATTTTATAAAAAAGCAAACCCTATGTGTTTTGGGTGGGAGGGGGACGAGCAGTTAGTAGATCTTCATTTTGTTTATTTTTTTACAACATTAAAATAAAGGAAAAGGACAATATTATTTGTAGCATGTGTGCAAAGAAGCAAATAATTCATTATACATGGTAAGCCATTCATGCATTGCTTTACATTTTGCCTGTAGGTAAACTGTGCACCTGGTGATAGGATGCGTGAATCACATTAAATCCACAGTTTGCTAAATATTCAGCTCAGTTATCTCTTTATTAGGCAAAGGGCAAAACGCAAATCTATTGTGTAAGGTATATATGAATATGGAACACACTGCGCGCTCCTTAAACTTGTCCACTTTAAAGTAAGTCTTTAAATGGCTCAATCCAGCCACTAAAATAGAATAGAAAAAAAAAAAAAAAACACAAGTGTTTATCAAATAAAAT